GTCTCTAGTTTTATTATCTTTTAGCAATAGCCATTCTAATTTTTTTCTAATATACATATTTTTTTATTTCTATTTTTTTACTTTTCTTTTGATATGGATTTCAAAAGTTTATATATCTTCTTTCAATTCATATCGTTGATAGATTGACAAAAGTATACTTATAGTATTAAAACTTTGTCATCTCTTGATTAAGAGTACATTATGTCTTTCTCTTGATGAAACATAAGCATATTTGAAGTTGTAGATTATTATTTTTTAATATTATCTTTATTCTCAAGTTCTCTCTTCTGTTTGTCTTGAATATTATTAGATATTTTTTTTAAAGTATTATTATGACAAAACTTCTTGAAATGAAGAGTGCAATGACAAAAATAAAAGAAAAATTGAAGAAGTTAATGCTTAGGATGCATTAATTCAATTTATTGCCACGAGAAATAACAAAAATGATAGGAAGTGAAGATACATATATGATTTGACTCGCTTCAATATCTACACTAAATTACATCTCTTCTTCTATAGTAGAATATCCTTCTAATATTAGAAAATCCAAAGTTACATTATTTGAGAAGTTTAATGGCATGAGATCTAAGTTTTAAGGATTTATCAATCAAGTACAACTTATGATTGAACTTCAATTTCAAAGCTATTCAATGTTAGGATTACAAGTTAGATTTATTAGTACACTTCTTTTAAGTTTTGCATTATCATAGTTTTTATCTTTTTTTGAATGACAAGATTCAATATTGAATAATTTGAAGGCTTTTTTGGCAAAATTTTGATTTATGTATAGAAAACATGATGCAATTTGTGTTACAACTAATAAGATTCATATCTTGCAACAAGGCAATCAATCAATAATATCATATGCTTCACAATTTTGACAACTAGTGATTGATGTCAAGTAAGATGATGTTGTACTTTTCAGTCAATTTTTCTACAAATTACAATATGAGGTGAAAAAATTGATGCTCAACTTACTTAATCTTTAGATATTGAGTCAAATAATTGACTTTGTTGTGAAGTGTGACAATCGAATTTTTGAATTTCAATTTAAGAATTGTACAAGAAAACTTTGATATTATTATAATTCAATGATAACATTAACGACTTCTCAATCTAAACATTTGGAAGTAAAAGACATGTAAATTGATGTAGTATGTTTTAAATCTCTTACTGTACAAAAAAAGACTCATCATTGTCAAAAAAAACTTTGTTTGTATAGTAGAGAAGCTAAGCATACTACTGAATATTGTCCAAAGAAATGATGCAACTACAAAAATAAAGAATGCAACTATCAAAGATGAGAAAATAATAAAAAACAAATTTTTCAAACTATAATAGGAATAATGTAGCTAGAATCTTGTACAAATGAAGGTCATATCCTCTTCTTAAAACCCTCTATTTATTTTATAATAGATATATATTTATGACCTAATAATCACAAAGCCTCTACTTTAATAGATTCAAGAGCCTTGGCTTGTCTTTTAGATGAAGAGTTTGTTAAAAGCCATAAAATATTATTATTACAAAAATTAAATTCATATATGTAGAAGTTATAGATAGCCATCCATTATCTTCTAGAGATATTATCTATAAAATACTTCCTATAGATGTATCAATAAATAGTCATAATAGTTGCATAATTTTAAATATAATTAGGTCTCCTTCTAATCCGGTCATTTTAGATTTATTATGGGTAGAAAAGTATAATCCTCCAATAGTTTAAATTTTTCATCAATTTCACTTTCCTTAAAGCATTATTAAGAGTTTTGTGAAAAGTCATGAGTTTAGTGTAGCCAAATCTTTATTTGTAGGTACAAAAGCTTTCTTGCATGCTACCTTTTGTTATTTATGCTACATCCATTTTTAATGATGGAAAGACTTTAAGCGGCATTTTAAGTGAATATTAAGATTTTAAAGATGTTTTTGAAATAAAAAATGTAGATATTTTTCTAAAATATTGTTCATATGATTGCTCAATCAATCTCAAAGAGAAAAATTAGCTACTATTTGGTCCAATCTAAAGTTTTTCACTTGGCTGAATTTAAGAAGTACATTAGCGAGAACTTAGCCAAGAATTTTACATGCCATTCAAAATCTCTTGCGGGAGCTCCTATCTTATTTGTGAAGAAAAAAGATAGAACATTGCAAATGTGCGCAGATTATCAAGAACTCAATAAGATTATTATCAAGAATAGATATCTTTTTTCTTTAATATCTAAACTTTTTGATATTGATGTTGTGAACTCAATGTCTTTATTATTGCATATAACTCTAATTAATGATTTTTCAAATCTTTTGCCTCAAGATTGTTAATTTTTAAAAATTCAAAAGTATTAAGTTGTAGATGATAATCATAATTGGCAAAAAAAAAATATTTGTTGAATAGAAGAATGTATCAAATTATTACATGCAAACTTTGCCAATGACAAAAGAGTTGTCAAATCATCTTGATAGTAATTAACAATATACTTCAAATATTCTTTCAAAACTTCATTCACTTATTCTATTTATCTATCAATTTGAAGATCAAAAATTGAAGAAAGTTTTATATCTACCTTTAAAATCTTAATTTTTTTTTTTCAAAATCTTGATACAAATTGAGTCTCTCTATCCAATATAATATCTTTAAGCAATCCATGATAGTATTAAATATTATTAAAAAAAAAACTTAACTATTTCTTCACGTTTGATAGATTTTCTACATTGTAAAAAATATGCTATCTTTATAAAATGATCTACTATTACAAATATAAAATCATACAAATTGAGATTGAAAGATCCATAATAAAATCTATAGAAGTAAAAGACCATGGTTGTTCTAATATACATATTGGTGGAAGAAGTTCTTAAGATTGATGACAAAGAATTTTTAATCTTAACCAAATGTCACATGATTATATAAAATCTTTTACAACATTTCACATTTGCGGCCATAAAAAATCTTTAGATATAAGTTCTAAAGTCTTATCATATCTAAAATATCTTGTCATTGAAAATTTGTGACATGCTTGAAGAATATATAAACATGCTTCTCTTTTTAGAACATATAAGCAAACCTTCAAAATAAAGTGTATTATTCTTAAATTCAAACTTAGAGTGTCATAAGATTTAATAGAAGTATGCTTGGTATCATAAATAAGAAGATTAAAGAATATACTTGATTGAATTTGCTTCATAAATATTGAATCAATAATCAATTTTGATTTTATTGCTCAAAGATGAAAATATTTTGGCTTCAAGAAAATCGTTCTTCATTGATCAAAAGTTGCACTTGCTTCTTTTAGTGCAAGATAAGAATATGTAGAAAGAACGTTCAACAAACCTTATTTTTTTTGGATTAATAAGTAATCTTGATATTAAAGCTTCATAAGAACATATTTCAACGAGTTTGGCAATGATTCAAAATATATGCCAACATGAAGCTTCTTGTGATCCATATATACAATGACTGGATTAGAAGTACTTTCTAAATAATAATGCCATTCTTTAAAATAAAATAATAATTATAAATATTTTTTTATTATGAAATTCATAGTTAATTTTGGATGCTATAAAGTTTTGAGAATAAAAAGCTACTAAATAGAACTTATTATTTGCTCCCATTTGTGACAAAACAACATCTATAGCAAAGTTTGATGCATCTATTTCTATAAAGAATGCATTGAAAAAATTGATATGATATAAGATTGGTGTAGAAATAAATGCTATCTTAAAGGCTTCAAAAAATACTTCAATTTTATTATTTCACTCAAGTTTGTCTTTACATGTGAGACGTATAAGAGGAGCCATAACTTGAAAAAAGTTTTTGATTACGATTCTGTAATAACTAGCAAATTCCAAAAAACATTGTACATCTCTAGCTATTTTTGAGATCCTCCAATCCATAATAGTATGGACCTTCTTTAGATCCATCATAAGACTATTGTTTAAAATGATATATCTTAGGAAGTCAACTTGAGTGGTGTAAAATATATACTTTTTCATCTTAGCATATAATTATATATCTTTTAGTTTTTGTAACACACAATGAATATGAATTTTGTACTCTTTTATGTTCTTTGAGTAGATTAAGATGTCATCTAAATAATAGATGACAAAATCGTCTAAAAATCCACAAAAAACATCATTTATTAGATGTTGAAAAGTAGTTGGTGTATTTGTAAGTCCAAAAAATATGACATTATATTCAAAATGTTCATACCTTCTTCTAAATGTAGTTTTTCAATTTGTTTTTGTTTTTGTTTTTTGTTTTTTTTTGTTTTTTTTTGTTTTTTTGTTTTTTTGTTTTTTTTTTCTTTAATACTTATCAAGTTATAAGCTCTTTGTAAATGTATTTCTGTATTAAACTTTGTTTGATTTAGTTGATCAAAAAGTCTTGAAATCAAAGGTAGAACATACCTATTTTTGATGGTGATCTTATTGAGTCTTTGATAGTCCACATAAATCTATAAAGATCTATGTTTTTTCTTTACAAATAAGATAGGAGCTCCAATTGGTATTTTAAATCTTTTAAATTTTTAGACCTTTAAAATGGCATATGAAGTTCTCTAGATCCATGATAGTCTAGACCTTCTTTAAAATGGTGTATGAAGTTCTTAGCCAAATTTTCATGAATATACTATTTAAATGTGGCAAACTTGTTCTAAGGTAGGCTACAAATTGTAGAACTTTTACAAAACATTAATAATTGCATTTACATTGTCAAAGCACAGAGAAAAGCTTAAACAGAGGTTTGATGTAGATAAAGCCTTTAAAAAAGTCCTAACAACATCCATGATCCCTAAATAACCCCACATTCTAGAATCAATGAGCACAAAAACTACATACTATGTTCTACAACTATTCATACAAGTGCAAGCATTATGCTCCATGCTCTATGTGCAGCCAAAATTATCTTTACTTATTATCAAAAGCTTTTTTCCTCAACCAGGTTGTAAAATTTGAATATTATCAGAAAAGCAGTGCTACATTGCTCTTAACTAACAAGAAATCCGCACTTTTGCAAAAGCAACTCAAAACAACATCTTTATGTAAAATACAAAGAAATATGATACACAGTTGCAATGCAGAGCTCGGCAGCGTGCCCAGATGCTTGCCACTACCTTCAAAAACCGCCAGGAGTAAGTTGTGTGTAACAATAAACCCAGCCCCAAAGCACTGACAAGGACAGAATGCATACCTGTGGACACCGCACGGAAAAGAGAAACTCCCGGTCAAGGCTCACCCAGAGCGCTCAACGTGTCCCACTCATAAGAGCCTCCAATGGGGCACAGCATATCACTCTCAAACCATACCATCATCCTGCAGTTTTAGACACCAGTCTTCCTTAAACTACTCTAGCTGGGAATCTAACCAACTAGGGTGGCTGTTTCAACTTCGTTAAACGACCAATCCCTGAAAAATGTACAATCTCTGCGAATCGCATAACACCGGGTCAACCTGGGTGCACTCTCCGCGTCAGGAATTGGAGCAACCCTAGATCCCTGAGGGTGAACTGGTTCTGCACGGGCACGATGATGAATAGGCCTTCGTGCAAAGCATCCTATTAGACAAGCGCCGCCTTCTTCAGAGTGGGTAGACAACGACCGTTGAAATGTCTCCTCTATCCGAAATGACTGTGTCGAGGCATTGCATGTTAAGCACCCGAGACTCATCGCCAAAAGCTTTCCAGTGTAAGCCTAATGCAATTCCAATGTGGGTTACTTTCACTGGGTACCTGGACAAACATCCAACAATATTATAAGCTCAATGAGAAAACATAATTCAGGATCTACCACGCCAAATGTCGAGTGACTAGGATTGCATTCTCATCGTAATAAAGATAATTATAGACGTCTTCATCCTGTTGATTGCGAGACGTTTAGTGTTCTTCATTGCCATCCACATACAAGAGATAACTTGGTCCGAACCATTGTTGGCGTGTATAAATACTAACACGATACTCTCTCCAACAAAGGTAGCTGAAAATCTTCCTATCTCCGATACGGATGCTCAACGTCAGGATGTCGATAGTCATTTGCAACTCAACAAACACTCCCAAGAGCGAGTTGCGATCCACTACCTCTCGAAAAACGATATTTACGGCATCTTGGGTCCCAAAAGATCCCAATGAACACCATTCAGGATGTTTGAAGTCCCAAAGGAGAGACATCAAAATCCAACTATGATTACGAAAAGTTTCTCCCTAAATATATCTTCTCAGAAAAAATCGGTGGCATCAACAAGGCGATATGAAATTGCCAAGAATGAGCAATGTTACAGCAGTGATTCTGAACACAACAGCACTTATCCTCATAGACAAATTGGACCTACCAAGAATGCAGACATACACACCCTATCGTGGTTTAACCACACTAACTTTCAACTCAAGAAAAAACCTAAAACCACCCCCAAAACCAAGCCCACATTGTCAAAACATTACTAATGTTGCTAACCAAGACAACGCACAACAATCAGCTCCTTGACAGAAACAGGCATCACTTTCTTGACACGCACACACATCGCTCAAACACAACAATAAAAATGAACCACGGAACTGCACCAGGTAAAAGAACCTAAATGACTATAATTACAATCCTTATAACAAAGCTCCAAGTATGGGCTGTAAGTAAATGTGCAAGGAGGTACCAGCTCGCTATTCGAATATGACGCCGTCGTCCAAAACCCACAACGATCCTACCCTCCACCTCAACAGCATCTCAACTCCGGTACCTTCGAAAAAAGTATCCCCCACCCAACTTCCCGTTCTCCAGATGCAATCCTTTCCCCTACATTCCGCGAATGAACATCACGAAACCCTCCCACGCCTAACGTCGCCTGCACTCGCCTCCTCGTTCCCAAATCTCTCAACTACGGCAAGCCCGAGCCCCCTCCCTCCAACCTCCGCACATGCCAAGCATCGCTAATGTAGCACCAAAATAATGCCCCACTACCAACCCTCCGACCTCGCACTTTCGCTTTTTCGATTGTTCTGCTAATCGACAATAACAGCTCCAAATTGCGTAAAACGACAACAATCTGCATACATTCACGCGAGCTGTCTTGACGCCGAGGAAAGATAGCAAAGGTCGGCCTCTCTCAAGAGAGATGGATTGGATGAATGTAGATGATCGCGTGTCTTCTTTGATGAATGCATTCATTCGTGGACAGGTAGTGACGTGGAGGGCGATTCAGATAATGTGAATTTTTTTGATGAAATATTCGCTTATTAATATCAAGCAAAAGAATAGGTGTGTATGTGTATATTAGCACTGGGGTGCTTTGCTTTAGGAGTGTGTGAAAGCATTGAAATTTTGAATGTTTCTTCGGAAGTGGAAAGTAATAGCAACAAAAAAAAAAAAAAAAAAAAAAAAATGTTTGTAAAAATAATATAATTGATAACATTAATTATATTTAGAATCTATAGGTTGTGGCTGTTAGTATTCAACTTAAATGTTGGTTCTTGCTCTACCTTTTTTTTTTTAGTCTTGAATTTCAATTTCAAACTTATTTAGCAAAAGAATATCAAATCTGTTTAAGAGTTGAAGAGTCACAAGGAAGCAAGTTGATGCCAGTTGACGAAGAAAGTTGAAGCAAGTTGATGGAGATGCAATGCAGTTGATGAGGTCACAAAAACTAGAGCTAATTTCTACATAGCAGCCTCCACACCTTCCACAACTTTTAAGAAAATGCCGAGTTACGTGGTGGGGCTGATGTTTGCCGTTCTCACACTCCTCTAATATTCGAATTAGATTCAAGACACTCTAAACGAAGAGCACAATAACTAAATCATGTTACAAACAATGTGAAATTCCAAAAGCTTCAAGGATGAGCGACATTGATGCATCTTAGCGATAAAATTCACCAAAGTGTTTTAACCTGATCCGAGATCGTATAAAGAGTTGATGTGCCAAATACGTGCAACCGTGCTCTACTAGTGCATGAACCTCTTCAGCCAAACTCCTATGTTCAAAAAGCTTTCAAAATCAGACTGAGGTCTGTCAATGGCGTGAACATCTTCAGGAAAAAGAATAACTTTGACTTCCTGTCCTCGTGCCCGCAGAGCTTGCACATACTGGAAACCATTAGAGACTGGCACTCTTCTGTCTTGAGCTCCAAGGAGGAACAAGATGGGCACCTTAACCTTGGAGAGGTAAGCGATGGGGGAACACCGGTATAACACACTAAGGTCCTTCGTAGAGGGTGCTTCAGTATAGTTGGCAACTCCGTCCTTTCCAAAGGCTTCTACGTAGCACCAATCTGGGATATCGGTAATGCCCACCATGGAAGACAAATTGCACGCAGGGTTTCTTGTGATAGCTGTGGTGAAACGGTCTGGTGCTTGGCCAACAAGATGAGTCGCTAGAAAGCCACCGTGAGAGCCCCCAAGAACAGCAACCCTCGCAGGATCTGCCATTCCATTTCTAATAACAAGATCTAGAGCCGCAAGCACATCACTCACATCCTGCCGACCTATATTGCCAAGTAAAGACTGCAGTGCTTCTTCTCCAAATCCTAAGGAGCCCCTGTAGTTCACATGGAGGAGGCTGAATCCCAAGGCTGAGAGAAAGGCTGTGTTCCTGGAGAAGCTGGTCTGGCTTACGGTGTGCGGCCCTCCGTGCAGCACAACCACTAGGGAAGGGATGCTCTCTATCCTTGGCTCCTCTGTTGGGGAGTTGATGGAGCCAGTTGGGGAGACAAAGATAGCCTCGAAGGATTGTCCTGAGCCCTCGGACATTGATTTTAAAGGATCCGTCATAGGAGCAGGAACTCGAAGTATTTCGTACTTCATTGCTCGCATTGCTGATTCCACCTTCGCAGAAAATTGAAGCGAGGGAAGGTTAATGTTTGACCAGTTCCATTCCTTGCCACTCCTGATCAAGCTGTCGGGAGAGGCTATATGGCCTAGCTTCAAATTCTGAGGTTGGGTTGGTGAGCTGACAACTGCAACCACGCAACTGTTATGCATTCCGAGGAGGTTCCAGGACGCCAGAGAATCGGAAGGGCTAACGGTGCTCACATCTCCACTCACAATGTCTATGCCAAGGATGACCTGTTGGCTACGCCAGGATGAAGACAGCAACAAAGTGGAGCTTCCGTTCAGCCAAGGGTTTACAATAAGGCTGGAGCAATAGAGACCCGGAAAGGCTCCGTCTTCCGCATGTTGCACCACTTTGACTACGTCTTTGATCTGCTTTTGCTTGCAAACAATCCCGTCTGCTGGCCAATTGATACAATGGAGGGAATTTGTGGCATTATGGGCTCCACTGGAGACGGCTGTTTCAGCAGATAAAAACACCAGCATCTTCCCATTTGGACTAAACCGAGGAGAAAATGCACTGCTAATTGTTCCTGTCAGCTTGACAGCCACAGGAGCTGCGTTTGAAGGTTCTGTGCCAGGAACTGGAGCTTCGACGTGGTACAGATGACAAGGCCTGTTGAAGCAGTGTTTCATGCCCAGCTTTCGTGGGGTGCTAAAATTATCAGCAAACGATGACCAACCGACAAAAACAAGAGACAGAGGTGAAGTTGGATCAGATGATACCACTTCAGGAACCCAAACCACTTGGCCGGCGCTGAGATCCCTTGGAATGCCTTCGACAACCTGCACGACCCCAGAACCGACATTTGCTACGAACAGCACGGGCCTCCGCTTTCCGGAATAACACTCGCCCCAATCTTCATACCAGTCCCCTTGGCCTTTCCAATTTCCTGCCTCCGGAGCACCGGTGTGGTTAGTACCTGATGTTGATGCGGTTGGACCGTAAACAGGCCGAGAATTCGCAGGCTCCTCGGCTACATATGAGATGAACTCTTCATGATGGCTCCAGGAGACGCCCTCGAACCATCCGTCTCCGTAGATGGAACCGTGCACCGACGACGACACATATATCTCCCGAAGGAGCTGCCCCGGGCCCCAGATTTGAAGTCTCGTTGGAGATGTTGCATCTTTAGGGTTACGAATTATCAGTACTTTTGCGCCCGACGGAGAAGGGACAATCAGACTGGCCCCGCTAACCTCGAACGGAAATGGTGCCCAATGGTAATCTGTAATTGTGTCATCTGCAGTCTCGGCAATGTAAACCGTAGACAGAAACGTCCGTTTTGCGTTTGCGGGAAGATTGGCCTGGCTCATTGCCACCGCCACATCAAAACCCCCTTCTTCTTTACGGGACGGAATCGTCCAAGCTTTGTCTAAACTTGGAATTGCATAAAATGCCTGCAACAACTCAGATTCTACCTCTGAATTGGGGTCGGACTTCTCACTAGGAATGAGAGGCATGGCCTTACCCGACGCTGCTTGATCCATGGCGCCCACAAACTTTAAGACGTTATACCTCTCCTTCTAGCGTCTCAACGTCTCATCCCATCGGGTGCCGACAATCGCGAAGCCGAGCTCCTCAACTTCTCCGATTCACATAATCACCTTCTCGCTTCTCCCATTTGCACCCATTCCGCGCACTTGAAATAAGGAACAATCCTGGAGCTCTGGCCGCCAGGAGAGCTACCATCATGACCATCAATTACACAACACATGGGCACACTCCAAGCGATGGTAGCGTGAACTTACTGAACAATTCTCTGAAAAAACTTCCTTCTCTCTTGCTCCTAATCTGTAGCACTCGATCCGCAACTCCATGTCCCTACCTGCACGTCTAAACCACCTAATTAGTATTAATCCTGTATCATATCTGTACGCAGTGGATGTCACCCCTCATTTTTGTATCCGAAAGCTGCATGTCCAATACAAAAAATGAACAGAGCGATGAATGAATCGCACACCCTTCACTCTTGTTATCTGCAAGTCTGTTTCCAATACAAAATCATCACAACTATCAAGGAAATTAGTTATAACACGCACGCATCTTCTCAATCCTCTCATCATGAATCGGCACTGATACTAATAACGCACCGGAAACCAATTCCCAACGCTAACCTTAAGACCAAGAACGAGCAATAGAAGACTTTCGAGCAGATTACACGCAGAAACATTCAAAGAAAAACCAGTTTCAACCACTGCAACTACTCCACACGAATTCACAGTTAAGTAAATTGAAGCGAGCGATGTACACAAGAAGCTGTGAGGAAGTGCAAAGGTGAGCACAAAACTGATCTAATCTCGGCCTGATCTACGCGCACATTGCACCGAAGTTTCAAATGCGCGTGAGAACATCATCACTCTCAAGTGTAATCCAGAGAAAACTCGATCTGACCCTTCCGGTTTTATGCGGCATGAATTTGGTTGGATCCTTGTCGGCGGGTAAACTGATCCCGTGCCCTCATTCAGAGCAACAAGCAAACCAGGGGGTGAGACCGGCTACACAAGTCACCCGTTACCATGGCTGCCTTCTGTTTCCTTTTCCAGATTCGTGTGCGACGAGGTAAACGTTGCCATGCTGGCTGTGGCAGTTTCGATGCATGTCGTCCTTCGTGAGATACTTCATCCGTTTTCTGGTATTAAATTACAATTATACGTGTTTACTTACTCTCAAATGAGGAAGAAGTGAATTCTGTTGAACATGTCAATTTTATTTTTTATCATTTTAACTATTGGGATGCTCACTTTACCTCCATGAGTTCAATCCTCAACTGACAATGAACAATATTTACTGTGGCTATTCTGAAATATACTAAAAATGCGAAATAAGCACCTGTGTCAGTAGCGAGCAAGATTAGCCACTGATAACAACAACATCTCACTAGTGGTATCTGCAATGTTGTGTTGGCAGCCGTATGAATTGTGTCAGAAAGGACGTGTCTACTTCACAGGTGGTACTCTCTCAACCCTCCACCAACCAGGTCCTGTCTGCCTGAGATGCACCACTCTTACGAGGTCCATTCTTTCAATCTGCCCATAAACAAGGTGTTCAAATATGCAGTGGGACTCTAGATACAAATCGCCACCATTGATCTCGATGGCTGTAAGCTTTTGCGCGGTGTGTCGGGTACGTGACCCAGCGTCGCAGCTCACACCTCCATCGTCCTCATCTGTTGACGAGTTTCTTAAAGGATCTCGTTTGTGAAACGATTGTTCAACGTGTGTGTGGCCCAACTCAACCTTGTCACTGAGATGGCATCTGGTATTATTCACGCATATTCAATCCAGCGGAAGGACAAAAACTTTCAGCGTAGCTCGTCGTACTGGATGTGAGAAGGCGAAGTAGAATTGATCCCCACGATCACCCAAGGAACTGCAACGCTAAAAGTGCTTTCCTCTTATTTTCAATAGTTTTATACTCCAACTCTGGAATTTCTGTACAGTGCACAATTACAATATTTCTTTACTTGCTCTATTTATCTTTTGATTTTTATTACCTTATGAGTCCACTCCGACTGTGCATAACTTTTGTGCTGTAAACTCGTTCCCGGCCTCAAATTCTCAGGCGGTAAATCATTTAAGTCCCACACTTGGTCCAACGCAAGCTAGCATGTGAAACCTAGTCTGCAGGAAATATTTAAACGCATAGCCGCACAGGCAGACAGTCTCGTCACAAAACCAGTATGGCCCTTGCATGAGATGACGACCTTCTGCTCAATTCTGCAAAGACTCAGGAATATTTTGCTAGAATATCGGTGCACTGCAGAACGAGAGTGTGTCATGGTGACTTCAGGGTTGCGTCAGACAGCTGAGAGTGAACACATGTTTGTCCAGCGCTCTGTTTCAGAGTAGCAGCAGGTTTGCATATAAGTGGGTGTTGTTTCCCTCAAGATGCAAGCACTGCATCCCGCACTAACGAAGGAGTGGATCTCTTTAACGCTTCTCGTGCAGGTATAATTCCTCCTCTTTTTTGCACATTCGCATTCATGGGAAGTTAAATATGAGCCAACTGCATCGTGTGATCATGAGCTGCCCTTCAGATTTTCGTGACGTGCTCCGTGATTATGATCGCATCCTAGGGGTTCCACTTGGATGGAAGGTTTCTAATTTGGAATTTGGTTCTGAAAACCATGTTTATGTTTGGAGGCTGCAGAGGTGAGTACAGAAGGATCGGAAATGATGGCTCATCAACAACAATGGATGCTATCCATGTTCTTCGCATCCTCGATCTTTCTCATATTCCTGTTGCAGCTGACGGCAGCTGAGCAATGTGGGAGACAGGCTGGGGGTGCCACCTGCCCCGGCGGCTTGTGTTGTAGTCAGTTTGGTTGGTGTGGCTCGAATGCGGAATACTGCGGAGACGGTTGCCAAAGCCAGTGTGGTGGCTCTCCACCTTCCGGTGGAAAAACTGGTTTAGCATCTTTCTACGGGCCCGTATACCTTCGTAAGTTCTCAAACCTCACAAGAAGCCGAATACCCTACTGCTCTCCATATTTGACAATCGTGTGTTACCACCGTAGACTGAATTGGTACAAATATGTAATAATGGTGAATTCGTGGTGGGTTGTGTCTGTAGCCTCGGCCTGTTACGGTAACGACCCAAACCAGTTCCCTGCCAATAGGTTCTTCGCGGCAGGAGGCGACAGCAGCAACGCGAACATCTGGGACAACAGAAATGGCTGCGGCAAGTTCTACAGAATCACGTGCCAGGGAAATGGATGCTGGGGATCAGGCTCCATCACAGTCAAAATTGTGGATCGTTGCCCGTTCGGCTGCAGCGGGGGGCGGGCATTCGACCTTTCAGCTGAAGCGTTCCGTGCCATCGCCAACCCAGACGTGGGCGTCATTACTTTATCCTACTCTCAAGTTTCGGGACTTCACGGCGAGGATGCAGTGCCATGGGCAGAAGAGGAGCTCATTGCTGAAGTTGGACACATCGGCGAGTAAAACATGGTCACTTAAACGGAATTTAGTTGCAGCGGACAGGAAAACTATGTGTATGAATAAGTATCAGTCCTGGAAGTATCGTCTTTCTTGCAATCTCAGTTGGATGGAGGGCATCGGGATACCCTCTTAGCACCTTGGCTATGTGATCTCGATCGAGCATCATAGATCGGCAAGAGAGCCTCCGACATACTCTAATCACAACGCTAGTGCCTCGTCTCAATGCCCGTTAGCGGCGCGACCTTTTCAGCCCTTTGGGATCCGTTTTGTGAGACTCTCGTGAACACTGTTGCCAAAGCTTGAAAAGGAATTTTGAGTTACTGGATCTCCTATTGCAATTGCAGCGTCATGATGTTCATTCTCAGCGTGCAAGTTTTCTGCAGTTAAAGCAAAGAAAAAGAAAAAGAAAATCACACAAACAAGCAATGGCTAGCATTCTATTATCTTTGCCAGATTGTATCAGTTGTGAATGTCGACGCCCAGCCCTCTCTGAACCTGAGGTACTGTTTCGTGGTGTTATGGTGGATTTGCATCGGTCCAGTACGATGCATTGCAAACGTAAGCAAAAAAGAGCATGGATATTGCTTGTTTTGGGTTGAAGGTTATTTCATTCGTTTCAAGTATTGTTAGTTTGACGATGGTTGTTAGATATGGTGACTGGACTATTCGTTGCATTTTGTTACATTCTTACAATAAATTGTGCATCAGCCATGTTTATATATATATAGAGAGAGAGATAGATATAAATAAATTACTATTATTATGTTTGAAGGATATATATATATATATATATATATTGTGCGTATCCGTTTGTTTGTCCACAAAAATCAATGATTTGTTGAAATTGTTAGCACCATTCCAAATTACAGATTTAAATTGTTTTAAATCAATTCTATTTCACCTTAAACTGTCTCTAGTTCTCATTTCTAGCCCACAACCCTTGTCTCTCCAATCTCTGACCTAACACCTCTATTCTCCCATTTCTTGTGACACCCGTTTCCTTCTCAACCTCCCCATCGCTCCTATCCCCCTCCTCATTTCCAACCCCCTTCTTTGTCTTAACCTCTCATCCTTCCTGTCTCTTCCGTCTCCTGTTCTCAATCCTCATCTACAACGCTTTTGTGCTTGGTGTAACCTTTTGGGATAAAAAAGATTATTGGCTTAATAAAATGTATTTTATTATATATATATATATATATATATATATATATATATATTGTGATCCATTACTGGTTGAATATGTTAGAATATGACTGTACACATAATAATCTATAAATACTTAAGTAAAATTTTAAAGTTAAAAATTTATCTTCTTTATATATTTGTTTTTATTTTAGAGATGAGTTACATTCTTACAATAAATTGTGCATCAGGAGGGAGGATATACATTCTAAAAGAATAATATAGGTATAGTAGAGCAATAGTTTAGCCTTTCTGCAGTGGCAATAAGTTCTTTTGGGAGCTGTGAGATGATTCCATATATTAAAATGCAGTTAGGATTAGTAACCAACTTGTAGTTAGTGGCAAGAATACAAGAGCAATAAATTACTTATTGAGGGATTGTGACATTTTAGACTGCACCACCTGTGTAGGATAAAGCCTGTATTCTAATTATTATTTATAATGATTTATAAAATAGACACATATTGAATTCAACACTGTTTATATGTAATTCTATTATGGTATAAGAGCTTATTTTTTGAGAATTTAGAAATTCTAAGAAAGAAGTAAAAACATTCAAAATAGGAAGAGGCTATGTTGAAGATGTTCTTTACAGAAATTGAGGCACCAATACATCTTCTCCTTACAAAAATATGGTTATAAATAGCCTTACTACTAAAGATTGATTAATATTTGATGGTTCTTGGTACATAATATAGAGACAAAAAATACAAATAAATTTTGAAATTGAAGAAATGTCAAAGCTTGTTTTTGGTATAGAGAAAGAATCAACACCTATTCCAAATCAAATGTGACAATACTAATACCTCCAATAAATCAAGTTGCAATACTTATGTGGACCAAAAAAGACCATGTTGTTCTTGCTACTATTTAGGATTGCGTCAATAACACCATCTTCTCAAATATTGGAGTGTGCAAAATTGCGAATACAACATGGTCACCTCTCAAAAATACATATTCTACTAGTGATATAGTCACTCAAGCATATTTATAAGAAAAAATTATTATATAAAAATTGCAATCCAACAAATTTGTCATACAATATCTATATAATTTCAAAATTTTGCTTCAACAATGTCACTCTACTAAAGTGATTATTCCATCACAAATGGAAATACTTATTCTAATAAGACCTATGTCATCACAATATGACACTATTATACAAACCTTTCACACAACAAAAACCACAATTCTTTTCAATTTAATAGCAATCTTCTTGTAAGAAGAGAAAGCCACAAAAGGCTCATCTTCAAAATTACAAGCACTCATTACTAATTGCAAAAAAAAAAAAAAAAACAAGTTATAACCAAGTTCTCCTATAAAATTTAATCTAAAAGACTAGAAGAACTCAAAAATTAAATTAAAACCAACAACTCCATGTCTACATTAATAAGAAAATGGGATATTAAAAATTCAATTTCTATAAAAATAAATAAAGAATTAATGCAAATTCTACAATATCTACTTACAATAATTAGAAGACTAAATAAATATAGAAGATAAAAAAATATATAAGAATTATCTTCTATATTCTATTCTCATTTATATTTTACTTAAGCTTTTACTCCAAAAAATCTTGCAAAGCACCTCCTACATATTCCTACCCAAGTCTCTAAAAAAAAAAAAAAAAAAAAAAAAAAAAAACTTGCTTGATACCTAAATTCCTAATCTAAACTTCTCCCAATATTCCCCTTGAACTACTATAGAGCCAAGTTTGTATCCTAAAAGTACTTTTTCTATATTTATAGAAAAAGTCTAGAATTTATGCCAAAAAATTGTGCAATTGAAGATATCAAGTAGATTAACTTCACAACCAAATCTAGAAAGTCTTTCTTCTATAAGTATGAAAGAAACAAAGATTAGTATATCCAAAAAAATTAATGGAATTAAATCAAAATTTTGAAGATTTTTGTAACAATCAAATTCTATCTAAGATTACATCCTTTTCAATACTCTGATGGATTTATTTAAGTTGGATTCATAGGTGCATTTCTATCTAGAAGTATTTTTTTTAATTTTATTTGTACTTTTTATAGAAAATAATTCACAGCTCTTTTGTAATTTGAATTCATTCTTAGAAGTGTTTATAGCTACATTTGGAAAAAATGATCAAGAAATAACAATAGAAATCAAATAATTGAAAAAAAAAATATGAAGAAATTTTTACAATAAAGATCACAATTACCTATGATATATATTGCTAAATTTTAAAACCTTGCTTGTAACGTGGATTAGAATGAAAAAGCCTTTATCAATTAATTTTGATATGGATAAAAGAATAATGTCAAAGATTTATTATTGATAATATCAAAAGCAAGTTTTTTAGAACAATTTATTACATAAGCTATTGTATGCAAAAATTAACTATTTAAAAGATATCAAAAAGAAAGATTTGACTGGAAAGAAACAAGTTAAGTAATTTTGACAATGCTTCCACTTCACAAAATACAACAATGCTCCAAGTTTCAAAGATTTGTTAGCCAAATTTGATTAATAACTTTTCTACAACCTAAGTGCTATTTAACAAAGCAGTCATAGATTGATTTAGTTGGAACCTTATTCATAGGTCAGGTCTTATCTTGGTTTGCTCTTTTATTTGAAAAAAAAGATCTTTAATCTTGAGCAACTTTGAAGCTTTTTTAAAAGTATTTGCAGAGATATTTGGAGAACATGATAAGGCTCAATGGTTGACTACAAAGTTTTACTCATTATTTCAAGGGTCATGCTCTCTATCAATTTATGAATTTGAATTTAAGCAATTAGCTTGTAACGTCAATTTGAATAAATAAGCTCTTACGAACCAATTTTATTGACGACTAAAGAATGATACAATAGACCTAGTATTATCATTATAAGATCTTCAAATATTCAATGAAGCTATTAGCCAAGATGTAAAGTACGATAATTGATTATTTCAATGCCATCAAGATAAATGCTTGTAGACTTTGACAAAAAAATGCACTAAAAATTTGTAATATGTTGCATCAACAAATACATTACTTCTACAAATTAAAGCTAAGGATATATAAATTGATACAATATAATTCAAACTTCTTAAAATGGAAGAAAAAAGCATCAATTTGAATAAATATTATGCTTATATTATAGTAAAGAGTGCCTTAAATCTATGAATTATCTAAAAAAATAATGTACAACCAAGACTAAAAGTGTAATTGTTTAAAAAAATAAAGAAACCTAACCACAATAGTAACCATGTAGTTGGACATTCTAACACCTCAAGTTCATCAAGATTCCTTTTACTTTGTCTAATTTACTTATTGCTTTATTATACCTTTATTTTTTAGTCCATAAAAACTTCAAACAAATACCTTATTAAATTCAAGAACATTTGCTTTCATTTTAAATGAAGAATTTTTTAAACTTCATGAAATTCTTTTAGTACAAAATTCAAAATCTACATACATAGAAATAATAGATGATCCACCTTTATCTTCAAGAAATTTTATTCATGAAACTATACTACTAGAAATATCATTTGAAGACCATAGTAGCAAAATAGTATTTAATATTATTAATATTCTATCTAATCCTATTATTTTAGGACTTTTGTGGTTGAAAAGATATAATCTATTTGTAAATTGGATGTTTTATAAGATTGAATTTTTTATAAACTTTTTTTTGGACAAAACCTATCAAGAATTCATCAACTAGAAATTCCTTATTTCTTGGAGCAAAGACTATTATGAAGGCGGCCAAAAAAAAATGCCATTTTTTGTTTATACAATCTCAGCTTGTGAAGAAGCGAGCTTGCTAGTAGCAATTTCTAAGTAGTATAAGAAATTTCAAGATGTCTTTGAAAAAAAAAATGCTAATATATTTTTAAAACATCAATTGTATAATTGCACCATCAATCTTCAAGAGAGAGCTCAACTACTATTTGTCCCAATCTACAATCTAATACAAACAAGCTTTTATCATTGAAAGAATACATCAATAAAAATCTTGCAAAGAACTTTATTTGGTATTAAAAATCTCTAATAAGTATACTTATATATTTTGAGAAGGAAAAAATGAATCTTTGCAAATGTCTATTGATTATTCGAGCCTCAAAAAAATAATAGTAAAGAATTATTATTCATTATTATTGATATGAAGGCTTTTGGAGCAACTCAATTGAAAGGGG